GCCCACGGAAGTAAAGCCATTCTTGCCCAGGCATCCAGAGAAGTGGTCGCTTTGGGCTCATCTGATCCGATTAGCATGGTGGCACACCAAGGGTAGAGCATGATGCCATTATTGGGTATCCAAACAGTCCAGTGGCTGTAGGTCCTTTGGGGCAAAGACTAGGGGAATCATTACTCCACACACTTGGCATGGCATTACCTGTCCTTCCACCTGGCCTCTCTTTCTGTCAATGAGTTCTGGGTCCGTGAAATGGCCAAGGGATTGTGACATTTTATAGGAGCATTCGACTTCAGTCTCCTGACTCTCTTTAATTTTTTTGATGGTACAAACCAAGTGGACCTTTTTTGGGGTGCCCCTTGGAAAAGCACCCCATTATATTCTCCCCTTTTCCTGCTAGTCCCTTCCCCCTTGCCACACACCAGGATGATTATGTCCCCCTGGCTTCCCATGGTGGTGTACTGTCTCCTGTCATTTGGGGGTCTTTTCCTCCCCAGTGCTATCAGAGGGCCTTGTGGGTGTATGGTCCCCTTTGTCTTTGCTCTCACTATCTTTGGTTTCACTTTCTGAGGTTTCAGTTTCCTGAGGTCAACCGCTGTCCACGGATAGCTGAGCACAGGACCTAGGATGTTTTGAGAGACAGTAGTCACAAACTTTTATTACAGTACAGGCATATTGTCATAATCGTTTTACTCTATTATTAGTTATTATTAATCTTGTGCTGTGCCTAATTTATAAATCAAACTTTATCATAGTTATGTATACCTACGGTTTGGTGTTATCTGCCACTTCAGGCATCCACTGTGGGTCTTGAAATGTGTCCCCTTTGGATAAGAGGGACCTGCAGTACATGTATGTGTGTGTGTGAGCTCAAGTGTAAGAAATACCGTATTTTGCCATTTGTGATGAGCATTTTTTGTCCAAATTTTTGAGGGGAAAAATGCCCATTCCGGGTAGTACTATTTGTTACTGGTACATAAAATTGTCCCTTGTATCTGTTCCTGCATTTTGTAATTATTGTTACATGAAATTTCTTGTACCATGTTAAAAATAAATGCTAAAATTCCTTTACAATAAAAAAGTACCTAAATATAAAAATTAAAAATTTAAATTAAAAAATTAAAACAAAAGGTTTTTTCTCTGATAGTCTGGGCCCCAAATGAGGGTGTGCATTATCCACGGGGAACACCTTATACGAGGCAGAATATGGCACTCAGCTTGCCTCTGACGTGCGGATCCACAC